ATCATAATTACTTATTACAAAACGTATTATAATAAATATAATTTACTCTCTTATATTTTTTCCTTAATATGTACTTTCAATATGCGCACAAGAGTGCTATTATTTTTATAATAACCGCTTGCATCCTGACAACAATTAAGATCAGTAAAAAAATATTTCAAAAACGTATGGACAGCTTTTGAAGATTAAAAAAAACGGCAAAATATTCGGATAATGTAATCTATTTAAGTTTATTCTTCTCTAATACTTAATAATAATAATAATAATAATCTAATACTTAATAATAATGCTTGCAAAATAAATTACGAAAAGATGTATTATCGTTTTATAGTGTTTTATTATATTATATAACAAGTCCCGGAAGATTCTTAGTTTGCAAACAGAATGAACATGTGCGTAACATGTTACAAATACCATACTTAAGTATAGAGGAATCGTATCGCGAAAAAATAATAATCTCAAACAGAGAAAAGAATTAATTATACAACGTTGTCATGTCGCAACTTACGACACGGTAGGTAATTCTACGACGAGGTAAACACGCTCGGCATTAAGTTTTACGTTCCTCATGATAATCATCGTTAGTTTTGCGACATCCTATATATGTATAAAGATAATACATAAATCTAAATATTTTGTATAGTAAAGTTATAAGTATTTATAAAACACCTTCATTGATCAATATATTTATGCAATAAAAAGCAATACAACATGGCTTGCAAGTGCTTCAAAATATTAGTATAATAATAATAATAATAATAATAATAATAATAATAATAATAATAATAATAACAGGATTTTTTAAATAAAATGCGACAATCCATCACACACACACAAAATGTTAGAGACTGATCATTTCACAAGCATGTAATCGATAACGTCAAAATCACGTCATCAGTTCTCCAGTGGCGGATTTATTATAAATTTGTCTCCGCACGCGTCATCCGGAAAATAAGGCAGTCATTGACGACGCGGCACGAATAATGTAACCTGGCCGATGTCTCGTTTCTAGGACGAACGTATACGCGGGATTCTCTGTTCGCCGTAGATACGCGACATCGTTCGACGCTATGTTCTTGGTAATTGGTTATCGGATCGGATGGCACGATCGCAGTGGCGGCGGTAGCTTCGAGCGGATGTATGTACATAAACGGCGGGAAGTCGCAGCGATATGACCGGACCCGTTCGTCGCAGGTACGAACATAATCGCGACACGTTGTTGACGCGAGCGTAATACGGTTCAAATTACATGTGCCGCCGAACGTGATAATCGTTCCCAACAAATAACGAGCTCTGACCTTGACTGGACTGGTTGTTTGTGCAAGGACGTGGCAAATTTTCGGCGTTAGCGCTGAATTCTTCGTTGAATTCTTCTTTGAACGCCAGAGAAAGTTCATCGACGATCATAAAAAAATCATCCACTCACTAGTTGAAAGAATTTTATTCATATACATATATACATATCTCATATATATATCTCATATGTACATATCTGTGTAAAATTATTTCAATATGTTTATTATTTTTTCTATATACTCTTATAATATTATGATATATTATATATAATCAGAAAAAACATATGCACGTGTTATAAAATTAATTAATGTTAAAACGTATTTTTTTGTTGATAACTTTACGTGAAATTGTAAAATAAATTGAGATTTTAGATGAAAAATGTATGGAAAATTATACAAGGGCCGCGTGTCGTATGTATGAACTATTAATCATACTACGACTACGATTGTCCGTCATCAGCACAATTTGTTAGGAAAATGGCGCAACAGTTGGGGACGGATAATGTGAATTCATCGTCGCGAATCCGATGTGATTTGCGCAATTCGAGTTGCACGTGCACTTTCATTTACTCTTTGACGCGAAGAAGGAAAAAAGAAAGATCGCGACGATGCGAATGCGCTCGTGCGTCGCGCATATGTGTATCGGAGTGAAATCTCCGTGACTATCCTATCGAAAGAACATAACATGCGCTGCCCACTCGAGGAATATTCACGATACTCTCGACTTCTATTTATGATCAACTTTCTTCGATCGCATTACTTCCAAATATAATATTGATCAATGTTTCTAGTGCAAACACAGAAAAGTGGAAATAATTTTTATAAAAAACATTCTAACGCACAGCGAGACAAGTAAGTAAGATATCAATTAATAAATTAAAAAATGCTATGCAATAAAATGTGAATGAACTCTTACACAAAAGTTTAACATGTGCAGTACATGTACTGTAATATTGTTATGAATTGACCTCTCCTTTAGACTCGACTCACACGACGTCATAAATTGCACATCTCGGAAAAAAAACAAAAATATATAGAAAAAATATGAGAAAGAATGTAAAAAAGAATTGTGCTCACAAAGGTTGCTTGATCTTAGTCAAAGCTACATCTTAATGGGATACAACCGAAACTGAAGGTTGTATCTCTCCCCGTTATCCAATTGCACGGTAGTTAGAACGTAATTAAAGTTACATAATCTCTAGCGGCTGCTCGCTCGTTCTTATGAGGTTTGCCTTTTTGTGTATCGATTATCATCCAGCAGTAATGTTGCTGGTTGTTGAATCAAAAACATTCTTCTCGGAATCTGCGCTCACATTTTGCTCTCTTTGCAACAATTCCATTTGATAGACGGTTTTTGCAATAAATTGCATATGTATGTGGTAAAAGGAAGAAGAGCTTTAATTTTTCCTCAACCGTGTACGACTATCAGTTGCATTGACTATTGTTAATAGTCGGTTAACACGATTAACACGTTCGCGACGGGTTGTACCACCGGTGGTAGATTCTCCCTTCATTCAATCAGAGCCCGTCGCGAACGTGTTAATAAAAGAAGCTACACAACCAGAAATGGTGTTCGCGTGAAGCACGGAGTTTTAAAAAATGCTTTTATCATGTTCATCGTCGGCAATGTAATTCTTATGTGATCGCACGCTTTTTTCAGAAAGCGTACGATGTACAAACGTTGTCAAATTCACGATAAAAAAAAAAAAAACAAACAAACAAACAAACAGAAAAGAATAGAAGAGAGGAACGCGAAACGTTGTAGAAAATGTTCTTCTCTCTCGGATTCACGCCTCGGTAGACGCGCCGTGACCACGCACGCAACATAAAAGTTTCCAATTATAATGCACGGCATGATACTTCATTTCGTTCGTCGTCAATTAAAAGCCACGAAACGCCCGGCGGCGGCCATCGCTGCCGAGTAATTTGCGCGTTGGTAGCGACGGCTATCCTCTGAAAGAAACGCTTGGAGAGAAGAAGAGAAATCTTATTATCGAACATTGCTGCGGGTCTCAGCAAGAAGGTGTTCTACTGCTAGAGCATCGTAAATAACGAGCGAGAAAGAGAAAGAGAAGTGAACGTCATCAAATGAATAATTGCTCGTGAGAGATAGTCACATTTGCAAGGATTTAGTTGCGTTAATCTAGATCTGTTATAAGTAATCCTTTATTTAAATAACAGTTTAAAGAGAGCGCATATATTGACTGAAGTTAACTCATTGCGACTTTTATCGTGAAATTTCAAGTTCACATTTCGATGATAACTATCTATGTAAATAATTGTGCATTAAGCGAGCAGTATCATGCATATTTCTGGATAAAATTGCTAAACAACATAATTACAGCTAAAACAAATCGAACATTTGTTCGTGTTTTTTTTTTTTCAAGATTTCATTATTTCTTTCTTTTTCTTATATTGAGAGAGTATACAAGTTTCTTCCAACAATTAAGTAAATTATAATAATACCTGTAAGATTAATTAATAACATTAAAGACCAATCAATCAATCAAGCGTTGCCGAATAGTGATCCCAATTGAGCGTGAGGCACATTTATCATCTTTATCGGAAGGAGCACAAATAACGTGGCGGCAGGTCTGTATGTATAACGAGCGTTCGCCATAGAGGCGCGATACAACCCTCGGAGATGCTTGAGCGGCGATTAATCGTTAAAAATTATCGTCTATCTTGATCCTTGATCGAAATGTGCAGCGCACACGACTGTATTAATACGTAGTATTAGGTAGTACATGTATGACGCTTGTATGCTCACTGTAAGCTCGCAGTTTTACATAGATTTCTACAGTGAGAGTAATTTGTATCCGAAATAATAAAAACACCAAGAACTTTAAATGATATTAAGTGACAACGATAGTAATACGATTAATGTCGCAACCGTATTATCCTTTGAAGCGATAATGTATACAAATAACGCTTTGCTAACAATCGGCAACGCGTAAAAAGTTTAATAGAACATAATAAACCAACGCAAATATCGAAAACTTAGTTACGAGCAATTAAATTGGCTAATGCATATTAATCGAGATAGTGTAAAAATACTCATGAAAGTATAGTTTATTTCCGTGAAGTTACGAACCGCCTATTTCATGTTACGAACATTTACTAGCGTAGTCAACCGTGAAAAAAAACGACGATACAAGGATATCGCACTGGTTTATTCTTTAGCGATATATGCGATGGCTTCTAAGTTTTGTGACACAAGAGGAGACGGAAATTACGGTGTGCACATTCGCCGACCGTATATATAAATTATATATATACGTATATAACTCTGCGATTATTAACTTCCTTTATTTACCTTGCCAAGTTATTCAATATTAAAAAAAAGATTATTGTTTATTTGTGTGATATAAAATATATATAGAGAGAAACACATTCGGTTATAGGAAATAAATTCGAGGAAAGTTAACATCCATATATTCTATGCGAAGAGTATGAATCGCGTTTATCAGCGAATATCGAAGTTTTGGATTTTATCATATTCTTTATTGAGTCAAACTTTTGAGAAATTATGTGAAACAAATAAACATGCGCGTTTGTTTCTTCATCTCGCCTAAAAATTTGTTTGATCTGAGTATATCGCAAAAACCGCTGTAAACAGATAAGCGATGAGGTGCAGGGAAAGTGCCAAGCTATTATAGCGCGTGGGGTATATAAGGCTCAGCCTAGAAAACGAAGCGGTTCAGTTGGTGGTCCTACGCCACGCTAAAACGTACGCAAACTCAAGAATGAATACTAAGGTAAATTAATTATTTTTGACACGAATTATTTTTGGGAATTTAAAGTATTAAAGCATATAAAAAAGTTCCTTTTTCTTATGTCCTAGTATATGAAATGATATTAATCGTTCTTACTTAAAATTGGTAAAAAATGCGACTCAAACCTTGAACTACCTTACAAATGTTATTGAAATAAATTTATTAAACAGATAAACGTTTTGAGTTTTACTACTTTACTAAACTATGAACGTGTACAAAGCTTTATTGTAAAATAGTATAATGAAGAATTAATATAAAATGTATATTTTTGACACATCAGGTTGCTATCGTTTTGATGGCAGTGGCCATCCAAATTTTATACGCGAAAGATTTGAACAAAGAAGCGAACCAGAGCTCGCAGGACGTCGAAGAATCGGAAGCAACAGAAAAGAAGACAGAGAAACGTGGACTCCATCACAGTTTTGGTGATATAGGCAATGTTGACTTGCACGGTGGTGGAGACGGCGGTGCCACGTACGATCAACACGAACATGTGAAGACGGTGACGGTTGTGAAGAAAGTGCCGGTACCAGTCGAAGTAACGAAGCACGTGCCCTATCTGGTGGAGAAACATGTGCCGTACGAGGTAAAGGTCGGTGTGCCGCAACCCTACACCGTCGAAAAGCATGTGCCTTATCCTGTGAAGGTGTTCGTCAAAGTACCGGTGCACGTGCCGCAGCCGTACACCGTCGAAAAGAAGGTGCCGTACGAGGTGAAAGTGCCTGTAGACAAGCCCTATGAGGTCAAAGTATATGTACCGCAGCCCTACACCGTGGAGAAACACATACCGGTGCCGGTAAAAGTGCCGGTGCCGCAACCCTACACAGTCGAGAAGCACGTACCCTTCCCGGTAAAGGTGAAGGTGCCGGTGCCACAACCTTACGCGGTGGAGAAACCGGTGCCTTACGAGGTGAAGGTGCCAGTGGACAAGCCATATCCAGTTCACGTGCCGAAACCGTATCCGGTTACTGTAGAGAAACCGTATCCGGTACCGGTGGAAAAACCCATACCGTATGAAGTCAAGGTACCGGTAGATAAACCGTACCCGGTGCCGGTGGAAAAACCTTATCCAGTGCCAGTAAAGGTTCCGATACCGCAGCCGTACCATGTGCACAAGCCGGTGCCGGTGCCTGTGGAAAAGCCGGTCCCGGTGCCTGTGAAGGTGCCGGTCGACAAACCGTACATCGTCGAGAAGGAGGTACCAGTTCCAGTCGAGAAGGAAGTACCGGTGCCGGTTAAAGTTCCGGTAGCTGTACCGGTGCACATACCGAAGCATCATGATGATCACGGGGGTGATTTAGGCGGCGGCTTCGAATTGCACTCCGGTTTCGGTGGTGGCGATTCTCACTCAATTCATGGCTGATTCTCGCAACGACAGACAGAGAACGATACAGCACGCGAACTAGCTTTCGCTCTCGATGTATGAGTCACGTACTTTTTTTTCCGAATCGGAATACTTTCTCTTGAGAACTTAGCAATCATCATAACGAACGATCTCGCAAGATCGAGAAGACAAAAAAACAATGTTATACTATCAAAAACTTTGAGATTTTAATCGCTTGAACATAAAGATTCTTTGTACCGAGATTAACTGTTATTATAATGAAGAAATATGCAGGTAATTAATTATTATATAAATACATGAATTTACTGACGTAATTTTTGAAAAAGCACGTAGTGATTGTAGCGACTTATATTATTTTATATTACTTATTTTATATTAGTTTTCTTATATTATTTTGATTGAAAAAGTTGTAGTAATATAATCAATTTCAATTTTCTTCGCAATGGTAAAAATTGCATGCACAAAAATATTAATACTTCTCAAAAATCTTAATCTATTTGTGTGTATATTATATTTTTGTATTTTACAAATACCACACGACTATAATATGTGTACACTTCTGCGGATGTTATTGGCGCTTAACGTTTGTGATAATCTGTTTATTTGTAGTTTTGCTGTAAAAAATATGTTATATAATGTTTATCATGCTGAAAAACATTTATATCTAAGTAAATTAAACGGATATCGCTAAAAAAGAGAGTATATGTTTGTCACTTTTTATATTAAAAATATAATAAACATTTGTGTTAATTAGTTCTCTCTCTCTCTCTCTCTCTCTCTCTTAATTTATTCCTTAACAATATTTCTAAAATTCCACATCATTTTTCTTACAATATAAAAGCAGATAATACAGAGATAAAGTAATACATTATTAATGTGCATAAGCGCGTGATGTGCCTTCATACCGATCATCAAATATGTTACGCACAATGCAACTATAAATCAACATTAAGATTCACTTTCTCAAGAAAAGCTTGACTAGTACAAGTAAATAAGAGTTTTCACTTTCATAAATTTGTTGTTCTTTTTTGACGAGGAAACATTACGTGCATCTTTTTGCGTTACGTTATTCGATCGTTAGCAATGTAGAGTCTAAAAAAGACCATTTTAAGACTCGGCTATAAATTATGCTGTCGCTTCCTGTCTTCTGATCTAACAAGCACGTGCAAAAGCGTGATATTATTGATGTTAATCTCGTCGCAAGAAATCGTTAAGTTTCCGCTGTGTTCTCTTTCTGGTCGGGTAAAAACACAAAAATTATGCACAAAAAAGAAAAAGATATAGACATAAGCTGTACAGATTTCCGTAAGCACTTTCGATTCTTGAGCGAATTTTAATCCTTATATCTGGTCGCAATTAACAGTACTAGATATATCTATACGCGTCGTGTTCAAGAAAGCATTACTTTCTCCGACGAGGCGCTTACACACGCGTTACACACATAAACATCTTACTCCAACACATATCTGTAAGATGTCCTGGAGCTATCGTTACTCCTTTCACCGTTAAGTTCCTTCGTCTATCTGAGATTCATCTTTTTTTTTTATATAAAAGTGATTGAAACACTTATAAGTGCGTTTTAATATTTAAATTTAGCAAGTGCGTCACACGCATCGTGTAATTAACTATAAGCAGTATTGGGGATAATATATTTTAGCTCAAATTAATATGTTGAAATAAAAGTTCTTAATTTATTTATTTTTCATTTTATATAATTCAGAAACAAAAGAGAGAGAGAGAGAGACATTTTATGCACAAATAAAATAGATGAAATATTTCTAACAAAACTACATTGGTTACATTTAAAATATTCCTATTTCGTTACATAGGATAGACAATCGGCTTTATTTAGGCATTATAGTAATAGACAATCTAGTAATATATATTATAAATTGTTGTCCGCGTAGTATGAATAAAATGATTAAACTTGAATAAAAAAGATTAGGAGATGTTTGTTTATACAGTATTTATAAAGTCAAACATTTCGTCATTTTACTAATGCTCATTTAGCTGCTAATAAAATCTCAATTCCGTGTCTATTTGTACGTGTAAAAGATTTCTGCTGTAACATCATAGAGCACGAGAGAAATTGATAATTATGCAATACTTGGAAATTTGCTGTAAATTCCGTCCTTTCTCTCATCTTTATCATCGTTAAGCGTAATTTCTGAATAATATATCGGATGTACTTAAGATAACGCATTATTAATACACAAAATAACAAAATTGGTTATATAGTGGCCAACGCGGAATTATAAAACCGTAAGTGCGAATAGCAATGTAGCGCGGTGCAGGCGTATATATGTATAATGCACCATCGCGAGAAAAGAGACCTGCACGCTCGAGCAAACGACCGGTTCTCCGTGAAAGTGAAAAAAATAACGACGATTCTGCGATGCGTGAATTATAGCCCCGCGTGCATAAGTATCAGCTATTTCCTACGCCGAGATGCCGCGTGCACTTCCGGTTTTCTATAGGCGCTTTGGTAATAACTAGGAAGAAAGAAAGTTTCCTGCCACGATGCGCATTACTGTTGTCTTACGTTTTGCTTCGTACTTCGTTTGTTTAATTTAATGAAAGAATATGTGCGGCACTTCCATTTCTAATCTCACCTGCATAATTATCTCATTTCGTAAATTAACACTATAAAGATAAATTATCTATTATACTTGTGAAAAAACACTTTAATTTTTTTAATGGATCTCTATAAATACTTTTATATGTGAAATTATTATATTTTAACAAACCTGTGTTAATTGTATTATTTCAGTTTTTAGTGCTCATTCCTATCAAAACGTTTTTGAAAAAAGAATGATAATTTATGATCATCTTATGATTTTCTCGTGACAAAGTAGAAGTCACGTCTTTCCGTATAAATTAAACATTTCTACGCTATTGTTATTACTTTTACTCTGACATTCCAATTCCGTTCCACGTTTGTTTACGGAAGGAAGAGATAGGTCGAGCGTTCTTATCCGTTTTGTCATTGCGGCGCGTGTTGCTAGCGCAACTGTGAAGCGAAAGCAATTATCGTAGCGAAACTTGAACGTAGCAGCGGCGCTTCGAGGGCGACGAGCTTTGGCTTTGGTATAAGAGAGTGAGTGTTTGGCGTCTGATATGACGGGTCAAGTCCCTGGGGATTCTCAGGGACTCAAACGGGACTATCCCGCGTCGCTTCTCTCATCGCAGTTAATTACCAGTCCTTCTCAGTCGCGTCGAATCAGTCTCTCTTTCTCATAGTGTTTCCTTTAGTCTCTTTAGTCTTCCTTAAACTCATATTGCTCCTACCTAGCGCTATCTACATAGGTACTCTCAATAATTCGATAACGACCGTATATCGTTTCGTGTTGTTTTGACATCAGGTCTTTTCTTTATCAAAAACAACTTTTATATCACAAAAGTTGATTATTAAGCTGCATCAAAGATTAATTGATATGGATTGTTTCATGAAGAAATTTTACATAAAATAAGTTAATAAATAAAAAGTAAGATTATTTTTATAATACTTATCTTAAAAATTATTCTCTGTAATGTATCTATATACAAATATATATAATTTATGTGTATGTATGTATATATATATGTATGTATGTATGTATGTATGTATGTATGTATATGTATACATGTATATGTATATAAGAAAATACAGATGTATATATATCTTTTTTAAAGTTTTTAAATATACACGCACGGCATATATAATATACAAAATTTTTATATACCGCTATTTAAATGTAGATTTTTGTCATGCTTTATATTTTATATATATATTTTAAGAGGTTTGCACAATCAGTAGGTGACATAAAATCTCCCCGTGGGAATCCAAGCGAGCGAATCGTAGTGGGATTGAACGCTTGAAATGGAATAATATCCAGTAATCTGGCAGTCGAGAGAACGGGATAAAAAGGGACGTTTTATCGGAGCATCACAGCATCCAACCAAGCGGTATCCGATCATTTCCGCCAAGCTCTCCGAGCCATTTCGCCCCGTTCTCGGCTAGCCGGCAAAATTAATTATTGATTTCGGATACGCGCATTCAGTCGCGGCGGACGGCTTTTAATCGAAAACGAGCCATCCGTCGCACATCCATTTCCGACTGCTACGAATTTAACAGCAAATCGATCTAGGAATGTCTGCGTTTATATATTATTGTGCTTATGTAAAAACAATCTTTTAGATTTTCTAATTATTTATTTCATTTCTAATTACTTAACATACGATAAAAAATATGTCATTGTCTAGAAATTTTATTTTTCTTTAATAGGAATAATTTAATAAAAACAGTAATTAAGCATTTTTATATTGAATATTAATTTAACACAATAACATGCGTTCATTGAAATGAAGGTTGTAACTTTATATATATATATATAAATTCTATTCTTTTATATATGCGAATATACATATATAAAAAATACAAATACCAAGTAAAAACTGGTAAACATTATTGATAATAATAAGTAAGAATATATGTGAGAAATATATGTGAAAAATATATGTAAGATTAAAAAGATACAGGAATATATTTAGAAACATTGGAAGTTTCTTGATTGTGTTTATCCAATAAGGGAGGTGGTTGGTTGGGATATTTTGTTGGTTGGGAAGGAATTACCGGCTGTTGGTCTTAAGAGATCTTCTTTTGACATGTCGGAATCTATCAACTAAATCAAATAAATTCAAAAATATACGTTATATATACATTTATATATGTATATTTTGTTTTTCAAATTGTTGAAAATCTAATATACACACATACATAGATAACATTTTACAGTATATAGAAAACGAAACTTACCTTCTACTTTATATGCAGGACGCAGCAGAACAAGTGATTCGAAAAGAGTAATTGTTGATGTTTGTGTAAAATCAATTAAAAATGGATCAAGATTATGAAACAAGATTGTTAAAAGTTAATTAAGTGTAACAAAATATAAAATATATATATGTTTTCAAAATCAACTTTCTCAAAAATTAATTCTTGCACAAAAAAGAATTTTATACAATTTTTATACATTTTCACACAAAGAATTGCTCTTTTTCTGATTGAACTACCTGTCCTGTTGCCCTGAATCTAAAGCAGAAATAAAGTGTTTGTAATTTGTATACTATAACATTTTAAAACACTTTAGGAATGCATGTAATATTAGACATTACTGATTTATTATAGAAGACTCTAAAACTCTAAGAGGCTTTTTATCAATTTTGTTTTGAAGAAAAATAAATAAGAAATATTAAACATAAAGAAATAAAACATTTGTCCAGAGTAAAGTATTGATATAATTTACAATTATGCTGTTTTATATAAAAAAAAAAAAACAGTTTTTCTTTTTACAGCTTGATGAAATAAAATGTTCATGATAACTCACACATGTATTATAACCAAATATTTAAGCGATATCTTTAATCACCTCCTGTAATTCCACTTTAGTAAACATGTGAAATAATTGTCCAGGTGTCATAGTCATCACCTCAATATTGGTATCATTCAATTTTTCTTCCATTACTTGCTTCAATATCGTTAGCGCAGCTTTTAACGCTTCTTTAAGCGTCATGGACTATAACAATGTTTAGTTAATATATTGTGTCAAAAAAACACATATATTGTTTAATTGATATATTAACTACCTTATGATATACTTCTTGCAGATTTTGTTGAGCTCCTTCACTACCAGATCCTATAGCTTTTGCATCAAATTGAACAAAAGTACCAGATGGATCCATATGATACAACTGTGGACCTTTTTCATCAATTCCAGCAAATAACATTGCTACACCATATGGTCTTGACATAGCAGAACCATCATCATCACTATCTCCAAACTGTATAGCCAGATTAGATACAGCTTGAGCAGTTGACTCGACTGTCATTTTTTCATTATAAATAAACCAATGATTTTGACATTCAAGTCGAGCTCTTTCAATCATTGTTCTTGAATCAGCCATTAGTCCAGATGCTGCACATCCTATGTGTTTATCAATTTCCACAATTTTTTCTACTGTTGTTGGCTCCATTAAAGTAGAAGTAATTCGTTTTTCTACTACCAAAACAACTCCTTCTGTTGTTGCAATTCCAATAGCAGTAGAACCAAGCTTTATCGCTTCTATGGCATACTCTACTTGAAACAATCTACCTTCTGGTGAGAAGGTATTTACTCCACGATCATACTCCGAACGTGTTAAAAACATCTAAAAACAAATAAAGATAATAAATTATTAACAAAGTTAAATTCTTGGTACAATATTGTACAAATACTATTTATCGTGTCTTCAGTCCACTTAAAAGTTTTTTGACAAAAATGGTCGATGCAAATCACATTTGAGGTTATGTTATATCCATGACGTAAACAACTTTGATTTGACAACTTTTAATTTTGATAAAAGTATGAAGCTATTAAAAACTCTGCTATATATTATACATAACTGTAATGCATAGTACATTCGAGAAGAAAGTACTAAAAAATAAAAAGACTGGTACTACTAAATTATAATAAACCAAGAAAATTGCTTAAGACAAGAATGACAGTGCAAAACAAAATCGAATATTGTGTAAACACAAAAACTTAAAATACCATGATAAAAGTATAATATATGTAACATTCTCATTGAATATCGAATTACCTTGTGCTACTACTATGTTTTTCTTAAAATGAAAAAGATACAGAAAATAGTACACTATTCCAAATACTGATCAGAACCGACAGCAACAGCAGTGTCACAAAGTAGTTTGATCATATAGCTCAGTGAACCGAGTCAACGTTCGGAAACAGCACTCGTGTACACACGAGCATCATTCTATCTTTGTTTTATATATAATGAGTAATAAAGATAAAATATACACTAGTGATGTTTCCGAACGCAGCTCGATAAAAGTAGAGTGCCTTATGGCTAGTCTACAATGAAGATAGTAAGGCTGTAGGAGTAGAGAGTAAACTATTTTTCGGTGAAAAAACGACGGGAATAAAGGGTCGTCTACAATGGAGAGTTGTAGGCCGTAACAGTAAGAAATTGACAAATCACAATCGATTATTCTTCTGTACTTTGTCTGTGATTGGTCAATTTCTTACTATTACGGCCTACAACTTTCCATTGTAGACGGCTCTTAATATATGGACTGCTAGTAGCTAACTTCAGACGTGTCGCCAAGCTGCAAACGTGTAAGCTTCGCCTCAGTCAGTAATTTTCTACAGGAGTAGAAAGGCTTCTGTGAAAATGGCGTCAATGATGAAATCAGTGTGAAATTCCCGTTTACTGTTTTGTGTATTTACTGCGTAGTTAGTGTTTGCTGTTGATGTATTTATGCTGAGTTTGATTTTTTCCTTTATCAAAAATGTATTGCTTTGTTTATGGATGCAAATCGTCAACGTACAAACGCAAACATGACGAGAAGAAACCAGTTTTGCCATTTTACAGATGAGGTAGTTTATCTCTAATCTGCAAATTTTTGTTCATTTGTAAATGGATATTCAGTATAATCCAATAATTATGTACTTAATTTAAAGACAATAAAGAACAATAAATAATATAAAAACACAGCAACTTTCGACCAATGTTTCAACCAATGTTTGAATTTCCCGGCATTTACTGACTAAGACGGAGCCAATAAATCGCACTTCGATATCTCAGCCAACTTCAGCTCGGCGATACTGGGCATATGCCTTTAGCATAATAAAAGTGGGGGGACTAGCAGTCCATAGTTATATAGTCAAAGACTGTGACTGTATATATTCTTTTCAGGTTATGTCTGTTTATATTCATACAAGTGAGTTTTAAGTTGACTCTATTGAAATATCACATTTTCTCACTTCTACTCTTCCAATGGAAACAAAACACTAACTTTGATCTGTATCGGAGTGGAACCGAATTGAGGGTTTTGGTGAAAACTAGACCATTGAAAAAGAACGCGTTGGATCGAGTAGGAGCATATTGGGGCATGCAACGCGAACAAACCTAATAACTGAAGTACAGTCGAACCTCCCAAAACGTATAATGCATGCGTGAAGTAAAGAGTGAGGGAATAAGGGAAGTATACGTTTTGGAAGGCTCGTCGGTCCCGACTGTATACGTTTTGGGAGGTTCGACTGTACGTGTATCAGTGATCAAGAATCACCTAAGTATTATGGAAAAAGATACAGATTACTTTTTAGAAAATATTAATCCAAGACATTTTATCAGACAAGAATCAGGGTATGTATCAAATACAAATTTATTATTTTTTATATGTATATGTTATATATTTCATATTCTATTAAGTGTAATTTTTTGAAATTTTGTAGGGAACTGCCTAATGCAACTCTTTTAGCGCAAATCTGTCACATTCTTGTTACTGAAACTACTCCAGATGCAGCTAAAATTTTATGTTTGAAGTGCCTAGGAAATTCTTGTCTTGGCTATAAATACAAACAACATGCATCAGAAAATACAGAATCTGATAGATACTGCAAAAAAATGTATAAAGAAATAATTGAAAAGAGTTTATATGAGCACATGAAGAGCTGTATTTATCCATATGACACTCATTTTCCTTATGAAGGTGTCATAAAATGGAGTATAGATTATATTATACAATTTTATGATAAATCTACAAATTGCTTGGGTGATAAAGAATTAGATATTCTTCGACTTAGCATTCAATTTTTATGTAATTTATTTACATATGCTTGTCCAGATGAAATGTCTACAGATAATAATGTACATAGATATTTAAATTGTAGCCAATTGAAGCAAGTTATCTTGTAAGCATATTTATTTATTCAAATTTTTATATATATATATATATTTGTAATAAATTTATTTCTATTGTAGGAATTGCATGCAGTCTAATAATAAACCACTTGCTAGTGCAGCTTGCATATATGTACACAATGTAGTAAAAAAATTACATTACGACTACTTCACTATTGATGTAAAAAGTCTCTGTATTCAGTTATTAAAACCTATTAAAGTAGGTTTTACATCTGCAAAGGATATACTATTGTATATATTACATGAGCCAAAATTTATATTTGAAGATGTGTATACTAATATAACAATAAGTGAGAAACTAGATTTACTTAAAATAATCTACAGTGAATTCTGGGAATGTTGGCAATCTGATTCTAATAGAATACTCACAGATGATCAGGTGGAATTTTTAATACTTACATTTTGTAAAAAAAGTGATCTTATTTTGAAAACTGTTGACACTTATATGAACAATGTAGAACCTACGGAAGTTATTTTTATTCTTAATATTTTGGGACTTATCACTACTAATGTCTCACAATATAAGATTAAAACAGAAACTGCAAAATATTTGTTTACTAATTGTAAATGTAAGTATATTCTTAATTTCTCTAATACATATTGAATATAATAACGATATACGTGTGCATATGTGTAACATTTAATATATTGTATGAGTACAAAAGTTTCGATATATTGTGTGATAAAAAAATAAACCGTAATTTTATTGAAAATGATTTATTCATTTCTAATCTGGACAACATCGAAAGAGAATAGAAAACAATGAAGAATAAAATAATTTTAATAACAAATTTTTGGTTCATACACACAATATCAAACTAGCAAAGATTTACTCAATCAATTGTGAACTAATGTACGAGGTGTTTGTGCAAAATATAGTTTTTATTAAACTTATAAATTAATATACATAATAATTTGAATTGAATTCAGTTAAAAAATTCATCTAGGATTTGATTTCTGGTTAAAAGATTTTTTTGCAATGGATTTTTTAATTTCTACAAAAGGATAAATTGAACATTTTATCTAAATATATGTGACGCAAGCTAAATTTTCTAAATAAACTTGTAAATTGATTTTAATTCAAAAGTATTATATGTATTAAATAAAGAAAAACTATAGTGTGCACAAACCTAACACATTGGCTCACATTGACCGAGTCAATCTATGCCAATAGAAATTACTTGGTAGAATAAGTTATTTTTCATAAAATTATTTAGTTATTGTTTTTCTATAAGGAAACCATTGAAAGTTCATATTTAATATTTTTATAGATCTTTTAATGTCTTTACACATGATGGGGAAAAAATCACTTAATTATTTTACTCCTATAACAAATTTGAGTAAAGTAGCACCTAGTATTCAAGAGAAAAAAAGTAATGTAAACTCAACCGTTAATGATACTGAAATATCAATTTTACAAAATGATTTACAATATCATCCTGCATATGGTTTTAAAGCAGGGCTAATACAAGTTGTTGCAAATATGATGTACAGAAACAAAATGTGTCAAGATCTGGTAAGAATCCAAAATCACATAATAAATTACATATGTAAGATTGAATAATAGAGAAGTAAAAGAAATCTCTTTTTAAGAAATCTTTTTACAAACACTAAATTTTGCTTTTGTTTTGCGCTATATATGATATGTGAAACCGATATTTCTCTTTTACTGATTACATCTCACATATGAGTGATATAGCAAGCGAACAAAAGATACGTAGTAGTATATATACATATGTGGCCTGTCGCATCAGACAAAGCAAAATTAAGTATTACGTCCGACTGAAAAACTGGAAGATGTAGCAAGATGAAATCTGATATAGGTGCACGTTATAAGTTTAGCAAATCTGCATGATGATAAAATTTACATTGCTCATTATATGTTGACATATAAATTAGTTGTGATAAATCAAAATAGAAAACGCCTGTAGGTAGAATACTAATTTAAACTGCAAATATTTCAAGCATATATATTTATACTTCTGTCTCTCTCTCTCTCTCTCTCTCTCTCTCTCTCTCTCTCTCTCTCTCTCTCTCTNTCTCTCTCTCTCTCTCTCTCTCTCTCTCTCTCTCTCTCTCTCTCTCTCTCTCTCTTTTTCTCTCATTCACATTGTATTAATGTTGGTACAATGTATGTTTTGCTGAACATTAGTTTAAATATACAATTTATATCATTGAGCTATTTTGTAAAGTATATAAAACAAAAAAATAATGTTATACATTTACTTCAGTTTCGTGAAATAGATGGGATACCATTACTTTTGGATTGTTGTAATATAGATGCAAGGAATCCGTGTAAGTTTAATGTGATTTTTCTGATATTTGAATTCTTTGATATCATATGCTTTTTCTTATGTTGTTGACTTTTTGCAGTTATATTGCAATGGACTATTCTCGCCATAAGGAATTTATGTGAAGGAAATTCGATAAATCAAGAAATTATTAAAAATTGTAAAAAAGAAGGTGTGCTGGATAATTCCATTTTAGAACAGATAGGATTGACTTTACACGAAGACACTGATGGAAAGTCCATTCGTATTGTTCCTTTATGTCGTGATTAAACAAATATAATATTTTTAGAATTGCAAGTTAGCAATTGTTGTTTATCTATATTAATACTTTTGTTAATGTAAAATATGTATTTTCTTTGAGAAACCATTAAATATTACAAATTAATTAAAATAAAACGTATATTATAAAAATACATTTACATTTGTTTTTATTTATTAATAACTGTATTGTCAAGATTTACAGATATTTACTACATAATTATATATATGTAAAAACAAAATAGTTTATAGCGAATGTTTGAAATTTGGTCCGGTTCTGATTGTTTGTTTAATGAATCACATGATGCCACATAAGTCTGTACATTCTTTGGGTTTTTGAAATGTGCTCTGTCGATTAAAACTTTGATTCCGTTACTTTATATTATCCACCGCTAGATGGCAAGTATTAGTGACTGTTAAAAATCGATTAAAGGTTGATGTTATAACAATTATTATGTTTCAAAAAGTATCGTGTTTTTTAATTAAATGTATGAGAATAGACGGTTTATAAAACACAACCATCAAATGTCAAATATCAAATTAATAAATATTAATAGAGATTTTATAGCGCGCGGTACTTATGTTTTAATATTTAACGCATTTCTATAAACCAGTTGGTGAACAAGCTATTCAATTATTTTACATAATTACACTTATCCTTTTATGATATTTTAATTAATTATTCCATTTAATAATTACAATAATTGCTTGTTGATCGATAATGTCTATGATAAGATATACAAATGAACGATTTATATATATATATATATATAAATGATTATTATTATGTACAAATAAATCTATCAGAAATATATCTTATTGTATAGAAAAATTTCAACCTGTATTATTAAACAACATATGATATCGTATTGACAATCTTTACGACTGCTATCATCTATTATTCAGTTTCATCTTATATAGATGATATATCTGTCTCTATTAAATATAATATACAATTCCTTTACTAAAGAGTTTATTAACGTGAGCACACGTTACGAGAATATATATGATTGCTTTTAAACAGTACTCAAACACATTAAAAAAAAAGAACCAAAGAGCCTACGGTTCAAGTTGAAGGTGGACAATCCAAACAACTTAAAACGCAATGTATTCGGGATGTTTTGATCAAATTTTTTATTGATGATCATCTTCAGCACTGCATATAGTTTTCTTTTAATTTGTTTCACCGAGCCGTTATTTGAATACTATTTATAAAAACATATTGTTTGACAAGTCGATAAATTTGCAATATATATAAACAAAAGTATATTTTCTATCCTTACAGAATATTGTTCAAAAAAGATGTCAAGATTCTTATACAGGAAGTAAAAAGCTTTTTAATTATGCTATCAAGAGACATATGTTTAAATAAATAATGCTTATTAAGTATATATAATCTGCACGAACATATGTGTCTTATTAAATTAAATCCTTCTTTCTTTGTCGTTTCCAATTTAAAACGATAATTTCTTATGTCCATTTCTCGCTGCAAACAAATTTACGATGACAAACGATGATGTCGTCCTGTAATAGGTGTTTATTAGTGTCGTCCACGTACAAGCAAGTTGACAAGAAATCGTGATGGCTTGAAAATCCGTCCGCGTGCACTAACTTGCGCGTACTAATTATACCGGAAATTTCGAAACACGCACGCGACAGTTATGTTTTCCTTTCTAATGGAATTCTCTAGATAGAGACGATGCAGTTTCCAGCATCGTAGCGCGCAACGGGATCAGATAATAATCAACAAATAAATAATATTAGATAATTATATCTCGGAGCGTATATATGTGTGTACGTTTCTTTCTAACGGTAATGTACGCGACGGCATGTGCACGCGTACATGAAGGATTTACGAAATGTAATAATACGCTTCCGGACATAATACGGCGCCTAATCGAGCGTGACCAATCGTTGATTTATTCCCAGCAGAGTCAGATCAGAATTTCAGTAAAAAGAATAAAATTACCGATAATCACAGAGTGTATGAATGTACTTTTATTCCATGTATAAATATATGATCAAGTGATACACTCGACGCGCAAATTACCACAATGCATATCAATGTTTGTTCACTTATATAACAGACAATATATTGGAATTATATAACATACAAATACTGCAAGAGGTGTGCATTCAAGACATTTTTGTGAAAAATTGCTTGACAAGATATTTCCCAATTTTACATGCATCGTGCATAAAAATAGCATTTTGCGTATAAACGTTGATAAATTACCTTTGATTTAAATATCGGTTCATCTCACGAACAATCAATCTTGGTCACGCGTAATGAAGAGCAGTTAACGCAAAATTTATCAGTTAATTACATATGTGGTTAATTGCTACGAATAATTATTTCCCCGCAAAAGGCGTTCTCGTTATACCATATAATAGCTCGCGTACGCGCGTGTGAGATGAAAATCGAAGATGCGAAATGAAATTTTTGCTATTTCTCTTCAAGTAAAACTTGTAATTGCTATAAGAATTATTTATATTTTGCGATAAGAATCGATCGAATAATCGAATCCAATGTAGTAGATATATACATATACAGCGTTCTAAATAGAAAAACAACGTCCTTCACACAGCGCGATGAAGATTTCGTCGATCACCAGCCTTATTAATATTCATAGTGGTTCAGAAGAGAGAGAGAGAGAGAGAAGCATAAACAACGTCTAGTTGTGCGTGAGATCGTTCAGGTGCGTAAATTCTGAGCGTCTTCGAAATGATTAACTCGTTGACGCAATAACTTTCGGCAACAGATATTTAGTTGGGAAAGATAGACAAGAGATAGATAAAGAGAGGAATAGTTTGAATTCTATTTACATAATATTTTTTTTTTTTTTTTTGTTTCCAATTATATTTACAACTCTGAGTTACACAGTTCGTCTACTGTAATTTTCGACTTAGAAAAAAATTATGTAAAAAAGATATTCAGGCTTCACACGTGAAATTTCCGAAGCAAGAATGCATCAGCGTGTGATAAATATACAGATAGATGAATATAGATCCGCCGGTAGATAATCGGTACAGCAAACGAACTAGATTCTTGTATTGATACAGACCGTGAATTGAGCTTGTGTCGGCGCCTAATAAGTCGCGGATTCTCTACAAAAAAATATACGGAGTCTCTCTGAACGAACTCGTGCGCCTACGCGCGCGACTTCTTTCAAAGAGTCCGACACAGCGATATATTTCCTGTGCCGCGTGGTACATATCTTACATATATGTACTTACGTATGTATCTTGCGTATTTGAGAAGGTATCAAATCGTCGTTAAGGATCATGCACAACGCAAATATAATCGCATCTTTCTTTTTATATAAAGTTGACATATATTTGATATATTATAAGATATGGTGAAAGAGAAATTAATATATATAAAATATAATATAAAATTTATAGTTATTTATTTAATTGTTATAAGCTTAGAAAAAGAAAGAGAGACAGAAATAAAGTTTTGCATTAAAATGCATATTATAAAAACATTTAAAAAAGTAAAAAGTATTAAATTTAGTGATAATGCGATATAATACATCTTTATTCGAGCAAGTTGAAGAAAAAACATTTGTGGAAAAAATCACAAACACATATACTTATTTGTAAACAGAGCTTGCGCACATAGAGCTATGCGCGATGTGTTTTAATGGCTGCCGCACACAGTGCATAAGTCGTAAATATTATGCCAAGCTGAGGATTTGTGTAATAGCCACTAAAAGCAAGGTTTGCGTCTCTTTATGGATCGTAAAGGAAAAAGATATTCGGAAACCGAGTGAAACCGCACGTCGGTCAAATTGACCTGAGCGTATTGCAATTAACTTAAAGAGAGAGAGAGAGAAAGAATACAACACAATCGCGCGTATCAAGAGGCACGGTATCAAGAGGCACGGTAGTGCCTCGCGCCAAGTTCACGCGCAACGAAGTGGCGCTCGAACTGCGCGAGCACACCGTGCCTCTTATACGCGAGATTCAGGCAATTCAGTGGAGGGGAAATTTGTAATCAGTCATTTCTTAACNATTTACTTGGTGCTACTTTGTGATATCACTTTTTTTGTAAAACGGGTTTTTAGAGAAAGAATGTTTTGTAGTATATAAATGTAAAACAGGTTTTATAAAGAAAGAAGTTTTTGGAGTATAAATAAAAAACTAATTTAATTAAAATACAATACGTGTTGTGCGTGTACTTGGCGCCTGTTTTTACCTTTTTTTAAAAAGGTAAGTTTTTAGAGTATCACACACTTTATATTTTGTTCCTCTTATATTCAGCAATCCTTGAAGATATCTTTGTTATCTCGTTGATTTTTCTCTTGACACAAAATTATAGTATTTATAATACTATGCACAGGTATTATTATAAATATTCGGTATACCTATATATATATATATATATATATATAAGTATTATTTTAAATACTTGTTTAAAATATTTAACTTAAATATTTTAATATATTACAGCCACTAATTATATGATTTGTCATCGCATTTCATCTTACGCGGATAACTCAATTTTTTTTTGAATCGCGCAAAATACACGACTTCTTTTTATTGTCCGATCAAACAGTTCTTCTCTAATTCCCCTAAAAAAAAAAAAAAAATGCAGCTTCATGTCGATTCCTCGAACGATAAGCATGACGTTCGCTTGTAAAGCAACGACAATAGGATCTGCCATCCGTGAGCAAAGCTTGCCAGAGCAAGCCCTCATGATGTCCGCTGCGATTCCGTTCGTTCGTCCGTCGAGAGTTAATTAATCGCACCGAACGATCTCCATTGAAACGGAATCTGGATAAATTTTCCGTGCTGATCCTGTCGAGACAGCATGTGGGTATTATCTTTACGACCCCTTAAAGAAGAAAAGAGACGTTCATGGAAAGGAAGAAGATGCACAGAAACGCATGCGCGCCGAGATACGGCCACGCTGAAACAGTGCACCGAAACCAGAGAACCTGTTATCAGAGAAACAGTGGCTACACTCTGGGCCAATTATATCATTCAGACGAGACTCCGCGGTCTCGTCCGCAACACGTGTAGTCCTTCGTAGCGTTTAATTTCGTTCGCTACATCCGTCTCATTTTTAATTGTGTCCTCGATAACCATCATATTGAAGCGCTGTTTTTAATTCGACGGAATATATTA